ATTTCGACCCTTAAACAGCCCTGGTCTCTTCATGGACAATCTGTCGCTGATGGTAGCTTAGGTACCGCCATTCTCCGACTTTCCACCACGACTCCGTGAAATTATCGGAGGACCGGTTTTCTATCTCGACGGAGGTACCTCAAACAAATCCCAGTGTCATTGGCGATGCTAATAAATACGTCTAAGGTCTCGAAATTGATGGTCGGGAAATCGCGCCCATCTGCCCTCGACAAATTGAGGATGCCGTGTCTGCGATCGAGAAGGCCGGAATCACCACCGTCGCTCTCGTTGGGGTGTTCTCGCCCCTTGACCACGGGGGCACGAATGAGGTAGCTTGCAAGAAATTGATGTTACAGCAAAGCCCTGACTTATCCGTGGTGTGTTCTGCCGATATTGGCAGTGTTGGGCTGCTGGAACGTGAGAATGCGACGATACTCAACGCCTCCATCCTGGCTTTGGCGAAGAAGACCATCCGAGCTTTTTGTCTCGCCATGAAGGACCTACAGCTCAAATGCCCGTTGTATCTTACTCAAAACGATGGTACTCTGACGAGCGCAGCCATGGCCGCAGAGCGACCTATCCAGACGTTTGCCAGTGGACCGACGAATAGTCTGACGGGGGCAGCTTATCTGGCCGGACTGGACCAACGGAGTAACAGTAGCAGCATCATGGACAAGATTGACACCCAAGTCCTGGTTATGGATGTGGGAGGAACTACGACCGATATCTGCGCTCTCTTGCCATCTGGATTCCCCCGCAAGGCCCCCAACTTTGTTCAAGTCGGTGGAGTACGTACGGCGTTTCCTATCCCAGAGGTGCTCTCAGTGGGACTGGGGGGAGGGAGTCGCATCCACATTGATGGCGCCAAAGACACCGTGAGTGTTGGACCCGATTCGGTCGGTTACCGTTTGACACAGGACGCCCTAGTCTTTGGTGGCGATACCATGACCTCTACAGATATCATTGTCGCGTCTGGCAAGGCTGAGTTGGGAGAGCCCTCTCGGGTAAAACACCTACCGGCCACTGTTCTCAGGAGAGCTCGCGCGGGCATGAAGAAAATCCTCGAGCGCGCTATTGATGAGATGAAAGTGTCTGATCAGCCCGTGACCCTCTTACTGGTCGGGGGTGGCTCCATCGTGTACATGGACGCACTTGAAGGCGTCACCGAGTGTATTCTTCCTCCGCACCATGACTCTGCAAACGCGGTTGGTGCTGCCATTGCCAAAGTATCTGGTGAGGTGGATGTTATTGAAATCCTGGAGGGTCGCGATGAGGGAGCGGTAGTGGAAGCAGCAAAGCAGCAAGCAATGCAGGCCGCCATCGAACGCGGGGCTGACAAGGACGATGTGAGCGTTGTGGAGGTCGACAAAATACCACTGCAATATGTCACAAACAAGGCGGTCCGGCTTATTGTCAAGGCTGTTGGAAAGCTGGCAACTCCTGCTCCAGGCAGTGATTCTGCAGAGGAGCATTTAGTATCTTGGATGTCAACTGATGTCGATGATTCGTACTTCAAGGAAGCATCAGAAGTCGAGAGGGCGGCGAACGGCATTCCCCCCTCCCTAATCAGCACCAAACACAGTGCCTCCCTCGATCTTGATAGATATGTTCCGGAGGTGGCGGACCAAGTCTGGTACCTTTCCCCCGTCGACTTGGAGTTCATCGCGACCGGAACCGGTGTGTTGGGCACTGGCGGTGGGGGCCCGTCTTATCTGCAGTATTTGCAATGCCTTGACTGGCTGCAAAGCCCCGACGCAAAGGGACGTATGAGGGTGGTATCTCCAGATAGCATGAACGATTCGGGTGTCTGCGTGTTTGGATCGTGGTACGGCGCTCCCAGTGTTTCGGGGGAGCGAATCCCGGCCAAAATAGAACTCACAACTGCCATCGACCATGCCGTCCGTCTCTCTGGGCATACACACTTTGAAGGAATTATCGCCGACGAAATTGGCGGAGGGAATGGCATGTCCACCTTTCCCACCAGCGCCTACTACGATATTCCGGTTCTCGATGGTGATCTCATGGGCCGTGCGTATCCCACCATGGAGCACGGTAAGAAACCATTACCCCTATAACCTGCTAGAACTAATGCCGAGTTCGTGTTCTAGGAACGCCATATGTTTATGGACAACCCATCACCCCGTGCGTGGTTGCGGACGCGAAAGGTAATGTGGGAGTGGTGTTGGTATGACTCTCCCCTCTAAAGACACTTTCTCCGCTGATTATCTGTAGAAAGCCGAATCCAACCGGCGAGTCGAGGAACTGCTTCGATGCCAGTGTGTGAATCTCGGAATCTCGACTGCTGTTGCTGCTGTGCCCTTGACCTTTGACATTGTCAAGAAATACTGCATCCCCAATACAGTGTCCCAAGCCTGGTATCTTGGTCGCGCAATTCATCGCGCGCGCCGGTCCAAGACAAACATCATCAAAGCCATTGTAGGTACTACTCTTATACCATAATGCGTAAACTAATGCGACCATAGTTTGAAACCACACCTGGCAAATTGCTGTACAGTGGCAAGATCATCGACGTGAAGCGAGATGTCAGTCGCGGGTACACGGTCGGCCAGTGCACAATTGCCCCGTTCTCCGGCGAGGAGAGAGAGACCATGGACAACCAGGTCTCGGCAGAGACACGTCACTTGGTGATTCCATTTCAAAATGAGTTTCTGTATGCTGCGTACATCGACCCCGCAAACCCCACAGCCCAGCAGGTTATCTGCACAGTACCCGACCTCATCTCGGTTCTAGGCCAAGATGGCGAGGTAATCGGGTCGCAGGAGCTGCGGTATGGCCTGCGCGTGAGTGTCATCGGCATAGCGGCGCATCCTCTCTGGACCGGAGATGAGCGAGGACTGCGTATCGGAGGACCACAGGGCTTTGGATTGGAGATGGAATGGACGAGTATCGGTCCGTATCAGGCACCGCGCAGTGTCATTGCGGAGTTTAACCAGCAGTAATGGGGTAGACATGGGTGAAGACATAAGAGAGGGCCGTGCAAAACATTCACTTCTCAAGCTGAATGTAGGGTCCACACGAAACCTTTTAAGTTCAGGCATTGCCAGGGTGAATGTCTCCTACTTGTATCGATTAAGTTGCCTCTGCTTGAAACAGGATTTGGGTAAATTATGAAAACATGGAGTATGCCTTTCAGTAGTCCAGTCCATCGCTACTCCTGCAACTCCAATATTTTTAATGATACATCCCAAAGCATTGCTTCGCTCTCCGGACTATACGCCCATTGGGCATATCCCGGTCCCCAGGGACCAGCGGCAGGAACCCATGCATTGGCCACAGCACAATTCTCCAAATACACACCACCTTTCCCTTCCATATCTGGGCTCACTGCCGCCCAGACTGTGGTGGCAGCTCCTTGCTCAGGACTCTTCCAATATTTTTCCAACTCCTTATCCGCAGTCCAAATGGCCATTTGGTCAGCCGGCACATGACGCAGCAGGTCTGTGGCAATGGTCCCAGGATGCAAACTGACCGCGTGCAGACCATGAGCTCCATACCGCCGCTCAATCTCATTAGCGGTCCAGATGTTGGCTGTTTTGCTTTGTGCATAGGCCATCCAGGTGTCGAACTCGCCCTCCCAGGTCAGATTGTCAAAGTTGACTTGGCCAAAGCGATGCGAGCCGGAGGATAGTAGCACCACCCGTGAGTAAAACGCAGGTGAGAACGATTCCAGCATCACAGAACGTAGGAGATGGAAGAGGAGAAAATGCGCCAAGTGGTTGGTCCCAAATTGCGTCTCGAAACCATCTTCCGTCCGTCCTTCTGGGCAGCCCATGACTCCAGCGTTGGCGATGAGAATGTTAAGGCGGGGAGACCTTGCTTTGACTTCCTCCGCGCAGGCACGCACTGAAGCCAGAGAATTGAGATCCAGAGACAAGAGGTGCACGCGTGGGCTGTCAATCATATCACTAAGCGCTGTTTGCGCTCTGTTGAGGTCACGGGCCGTAAGGTAAAGTGTAGCACCGGTAGCATATAGTGCTCGCGCAGTATGCACACCCAGACCTGACGAGCAGCCGGTGATGAGGATGACCTTGTCAGACCATTGGCCTTCAAGATGTTCATCCTGAATGATTTTAAGGGCAGTTGGCCGCGCGTCGCCTGCACCCTTGGGCGATTGGTGCACTGCTGCGTATCGGCTACTCATCACTTCTGCTTTTATATGCTAGCCACTGTAGATCTGGCACTGGAATGGGGGATTTTAACGACTCTCCAGATGTGTTTTCGGGACCTACTCTTCTTATATGGCGTAGTTGCCAAATTGAATCCGTGGCAATTCACGCCAAGAGAGCCTGTGATCCATCGCGCAGTGTGTGGGGACCCCAACTTACTGGTAATTGCTGAAGATATCATTAATGTAGGGGCTTCGAGCTATATGTCAGAGTATTTATCAAATCGGTGATTGTCGACCAGGTGTATTAAGCCCTTCTTCTTGTTGCTGGCTTTGAAAATAACCGGTATTGGTATCGATCACCTAAGCTAACCAAATCATGACTAGCGTTAACGCCCCGGGATGATTCCGCGAGCGGCTTCTCCCAAAAGGGGAAACCGACAAGGCGCCTGATCCCGCGCGGTAATCGACGGGCAGAACCGGGTACAAGATGTGCACGCTAAAGCGAGAGGTATAAGAAGACCAGCTCTCATTCATGACGCCCCTGGGCGTGATATAGATATCTACGGATAATCGCTGCTATGCTGGTAGAGATCGGTTCCTGCTCGGGGTTAGCGGACCTGTGCAACATCGCAAACCTTATGTTCCGGAGTTAATTATCCCCAACTCACTAACTCCGACCAGTGGCTACAGGCACGTCGGGTATTGTACACGGGGAAACCGGAGACAAACATGGAGAGAGGCGAAGGCCATTAGAATAGGGGATCCGGAGGGGCCAGGGGAGGGATACTAGGACGTATATAAAATGTTAGGCTCTCACCAATGCGGCTTTCTTTTGCACTGAGTGAATCCGGCTGTATATACAATACGCACCATGGCATCCTACCTAGTTACTGGTAGTACTCGAGGGATCGGCTTCGAATTGGTGCGCCAATTATCAGAAAAGCCTCTCTCAGAAGTCAGCACCATTATTGCCACCTCGCGATCGGTCAATGCCTCCCTGCAGGATCTAGCGGACCGGCATCCCAGCCGAATCGTGCTAGTCCTCTTAGATGTTGCGGCCCCCGAGACCATACAAAAGGCTGCTCAGACCATTGGGAGCATCTTAGGAGATAAGGGACTGGATGTACTCATTAACAATGCTGGCATCGTGGGCTGGGGCCGGCTTGAGGACATGTTGGTTTTAACCCATGGACCGCATCAATCTTTGATAGAAACTAACGTCCTGCAGGACAGACTTGGAAGACACGTTCCGTGTCAATGTGACTGGTCCGCATATCGTAACCCAGAACTTCTTGCCGCTATTGCGAAAGGGCTCTATGAAGAAGATCATCAACATGTAAAACCCCTCTTGACCCAGGAACCGGGTGTGTTTAATCCTGGCTCGCATCATCCAGTTCCAGCAGCGTCGGCTCCATTGCAAAGCAGTCCGTCTACCGGGAACTGCCCACCCCCTCCTACAAGATCACCAAGGCCGCTTTGAACATGATGACGGTGCTTTATTCTCAAGAGCTTGAGAAGGAAGGGTTCACCGTATTCTGCGTAAGTCCTGGGGTGAGTGCCAATCCAGACCTCATGCCAGTCCGACCATATATCTGATCCCAATATTAGTGGTTGAGAACAGATGAAGCCAATTCACACGCTGACCTTCCGGTCGGAACTGGTGTCGAGCGCGTTTTGGGGATGATCCGTGATCGGGGTGTGGAAGTCAATGGAAGATTCTTGAATATTCATGTTGCTGGATGGGAGAATAACCCTGGTTTAAACCAGTATGATGGAAAGGAGCTGCCATGGTAGACCGTCTAGATGACTGATCGATGTTTGGAGATATGTCTCATGCGTTGTTCATACTTACCTATCAATAGATGAGCTTGAACATGCAGTTGCAGGAACTAAACATTGAACTCTGTGGAAGAGATTATGACGCGATACTTAATACTTCAATATAGATACGCAACTGTGTTCCGATCTGCTATGCGAGAAATAGGTCTCCTCAGCTGTGGACTGGATCGTCCGATTCCGTGGAGGTTTTCATCTTATGGGCTGGGCTGTATCTCCAGAGAAAAGGCAATGATAGCAGGGCGGTCAAGTAGGGTGTCGGTGAAATTGATTGTTTGTTTAGCTCTATTATAGTTCGGTCTAGCCCAATTGGTGTTGTTTGGTGGCTATGCGGGCTTTCAACAACTAGTAGGATACAGGCAGTACCTATTTGTGTCACCACTTGGTGAGAGTCTGTGCCAATCACTTCATTAGAATGTCGTTCAGGCGAAGGAGACTTACACGGTACGATGCCGAGGTCCTGTCAGTAAAGTACATGTGATGGGAAGAGAAGAACACACTAGCAATGCAACATATCGAGCGGGGAAATAAGCAGAGAGAGTCAAAGTAGATTAGGGTCGTCGGGGAAGAGCGCCACATTGAGTCCCCAAAAAGGTAATCCGCGAGGCTGATCCATCAGCTCCTATCTGTCAGCACAATAACAATCAATTGAACTCAACCCATGCATACATTTCACTCAAACTCCGCGTTGGAGGTGTTCATATTTGTCTATCATTATCTCTCAGCTTAGGCCTGCTTCATAGATATCAATCTGACTGTCTCTAGTTGGTCTGACTGGCCATCGGTGATGAGTTGAAGGCTCAAGCGGTCGCTGCGCCAGCTGAGCCCGTCGCGGCGATCCCCGATCAGTCCTCTGTGGGGCATTGAGCAAAGCATGCGCGTGAAGTGGCATCGGAGATTTGTGTCATGCAATAACAAGCTGCTCGAGGGTTGTGTTGGTAGAGCTTCCGCCGCAACCCAGCTCTAGTCCTACGAGGTATTGTTATGGATGTGGCTCATGTACTCCTCTGAGCCTAATGTCTAAGCCCGCCTGCTGTTAAGTATTCTATTGGTCTTCTACATTAATGGAAAGCACGTGAACACTGCAGTTTCTCCTCATGCCACCCTTGCTAGCTTGGGTGAACTAGTTCCTGCAGCAGCTTCGTCACTCCCCTTCTCAGCCAAGCCCTAGGCAAAAAGCTTCCCCGGAATAGACTTCTCTCCTTTGGTCTCCTGCGGCAGTTCTATCCCAATCGACGACCATCAAATTCGTTCATTCGGTGGGAACTCATTCCAGGCACCAGCAACCAGCACATCCGAGTGATCCGCAACTTCTGGGTCAGCTCTTGTTCTGCCGGCTCCACCAGTGCCGTCATCGCACGCGAGACCCGCCCCGGATGCTTTGCTGAAGCAGGTATAGTCCATCCCCGCTCGGGCGTGATGCCCAACGGTCACTGGAGGAGAGGTGCAGGCGGGATGTTGTTGCATGAATCAAGCCCGGGGTTTGACTTTCATCCGCTCGTTTCCTACTGGCGGGTTCGCCCTCTCCATCGAAGCCACGGATCCTTCGATCCGGATCCTGGCAAAACACAGAGGAAGCAGAGCTTGGTTATAGTAGAAATTATTAATACAAAGCTGATCTGCCCGATTTTCCCAAACCTTCCCTCTCCATCCCTCTCACCTCGCACCCCCGTTGATCTTCACACCCGCCATGTACATCCCCTCGGTGCTGCTTCTGGCCGCGAGCCTGTTCCATGGCGCAACGGCGCTGCCCACGCCAGGCTCCTCTCCCATCCCGCCCAGCCAGGATCCCTGGTACAGCGCGCCCGAGGGCTTCGAGGAGGCAGATCCCGGTGCCATCCTGCGCGTGCGGCCCGCGCCCGGCAACTTGACCGTGGTAGTGGGCAATGCCTCGGCGGCTTACAACATTCTCTACCGCACTACAGACAGTCAATACAAGCCTTCGTGGGCTGTGACTACCCTGCTGGTGCCCACCGAGGCCGCCTCCGCCGCCATCAACCAAAGCGTTCTGCTCTCCTACCAGATCGCGTACGATTCGTTCGACGTCAACGCCAGTCCCAGCTACGCCATGTACTCTAGCCCGCCCTCTGATATTATCCTCGCCCTGCAGCAGGGCTGGTTCGTCAACGTTCCCGATTACGAGGGACCCAATGCCTCTTTCACTGCCGGTGTGCAGTCCGGTCATGCCACCCTCGACTCGGTCCGCAGCGTGCTCGCCTCCGGATTCGGCCTAAACGAGGATGCCAAGTACGCTCTTTGGGGATACTCTGGCGGTGCCTTGGCCAGCGAATGGGCTGCTGAGCTGCAGATGCAGTACGCTCCGGAGTTGAACATTGCCGGTCTGGCTGTGGGTGGACTCACTCCCAACGTTACCAGCGTCATGAACACGGTGACCTCGACCATCAGCGCAGGACTCATCCCCGCCGCCGCGCTGGGTCTGTCAAGCCAGCACCCTGAGACATACGAGTTCATCCTCAGCCAGCTGAAGACGACGGGTCCTTACAACCGCACGGGATTCCTGGCCGCCAAGGACCTGACCTTGTCCGAGGCAGAGGTCTTCTATGCCTTCCAGAACATCTTCGATTACTTCGTCAACGGATCGGCCACGTTCCAGGCGCAAGTGGTGCAGAAGGCACTCAACCAGGACGGATACATGGGCTACCATGGGTTCCCGCAGATGCCGGTGCTCGCGTACAAGGCCATCCACGACGAGATCAGTCCCATCCAGGACACGGATCGCGTGATCAAGCGGTACTGTGGACTGGGATTGAACATCTTGTATGAGCGGAACACCATCGGTGGACACTCCGCAGAGCAGGTGAATGGCAACGCCCGGGCGTGGAACTGGTTGACCAGCATTTTCGAGGGAACGTATGCACAGCAGTACAAGACCGAGGGGTGCACGATCCGCAATGTCACCCTGAACACGACTTCCTCTGTTTATTAAAGAGGGGTTGCGAGCATGTGAATAATGTTGTTAATGGCTGTGTATGGACAGCCGGCTCTATTGTACAGTAATGAGCTAATTAATGTGGCTTCATGAACATGGTACAAATGATTATGTTATGTACATAGTGTGGAGGTGGTAATGATGATAAAATATTTGTCTATGGTCTATGTTCCTGCTTTGCGATAAAATACACCTTTCAAGGACTAACTACTGACACATCTGCTTAGAAGAGACCAGAGTCGGCCTTGATCAGATCGGAGGCCCGCTCGGCCACCGCGTACAAGGTACTGACCAGGTGGCCGCACACCTGGAAGGGAAGGACGGATGCATCCACGACGCGAACATTGCTGGTGCCGTACACCGTCAAGCGGTCGCTGACCACACCGCCCTTGTCCTTGGGCATCATGGCAGCAGTGCCGACCGGGTGGAAGTTCGAGCGGTCTGTGAATGGCAATTAGCATGCATACATCAGTATACTCTGGAAGACTGGAATAAACTTACATTGTGTGAGCAGCCACGCCTTCCAGTCCTCCTCGGAGCCGTTGGCAGCCACGGCCTCAAAGCCAGGGTTGGTCTCCCCGGTAACAAGGTTGGCCAAGGGAGCAGCCTGGAAGGTCTTGCGGACGTACTTGGCCACCGCAATCTGACTGGTAAGATCCCAATCGAACTTGTAGTAGTTGGGGTTGATGATCGGCTTGGCAGTAGGATCGGCGGATCCAATGTGGACATATCCACGGGCAAAGGGCATCAGGGCCCAGTACTGGGCGCTAATACTGCTGGTGCTACCGGGGTAATACAAGATCTCGGCGATCGTGATCTTATCCTTGAAGATCAGGTCATACTGCAGCTGGAAAAGAGCTTCCAGATCCTCAGCCTTCATGGTGCCACTGCTCACCTGGGCGGTTTCGTTGGCCCATTGCTTGAGCTGGCGGCGGACGGATTGTGCCACTGACAGGGTGTCGTTGCCAAGGACATCATAGATGTTGGGATAAACCACGGTCTTGGTGCCCGTCAGACCAGGGGTGGTGGAAGCACCTAGTCCCGCGTTGGTCTGGTCCTGAAGGTTCTCACCGACGGTGGGAAGATCGACACGGACAGAGATGTTGTACCTCTCCAGGATATCGCGGTTACCGATACCGGAGAGTTCCAGGATACCGGGCGACTTCAACGAACCGGCAGAAATGATGACCTCCTGGCTTGCTCCGATAGTAGTAACGGTGCCATTGGAAGAGGTAATCTCGACACCAGCAGCAGTGGCATTACCCTGGGATCCTCCATTTTTCCAGACAAGACGGTTGACGAAAGTATCAAGCATCAGGTGCAGGTTAGGACGGGACGCAATGGGCCAATAGTATGCGCGAGCGGCGTCTTCACGCACATATGCGGTGTAATCGATGGTGGAAGGGTAGACATTGAAGCCACGCATCTTGCCGCCGTTGACATCCTCGGTCCATGGAACACCGAGTCCGTGGAAGGTGGCATTCAGGGTGTTGGTGAGGTTATTGGCGGGAATGTCGGGCCAGGCTACGGACAGCGGACCCTCCTTGCCGTTGGCACTGGGGTCGTAGGTGGCTCCTCTAGCACGCTGGCTGGCTGTGGGAACAGTCAAGTTCTCGCTCTTCCGGTAGTAGGGGAACAGGCTGTCCCAGGTCCATCCCTCGTTACCGATGGTCTGCCATGCGTCAACCTGGACGTCTTCGGCCCGAGTGTACGCCATTCCTGTGAATACGTTAGTGCTTAGCTCTTTCCAGGCCCACGCATGACATACCGTTGATGGCACTCGTGCCCGAAAGCGCCTTTCCAGCACGCAGCACCTGGGGGGCGTTGCCAGCATAGGACTGGTTGGTTGTCTCGTACTGCCAGTCGATGTCAGTACCGAAGGCCAGTCCGTAGCCGTCGACATCCGTGACGTTGGAGTTGTTGAGAACTGAACCACCGGCTTCGATGATGAGGACCGACACATTGGGGTTCTCCGACAGGCGGTTGGCAACCACGAGACCGCTGGTTCCTCCACCAACGACGATGTAATCATACTGGGAACCAGAGAGACGGGTAGAAGGCGCTGCAAGGGCCGTTGACAGCGCACCCAAAAGGGTCAAACTTCGAAGCATCTTGCTGGCCATGATCGCTCCGGAATGTTTGAACGGTGATGATAGCTTCAAGACCTTGCTCACTGGGCTTTTATACCTCTCATGACGCTGCATCCGTTCTGCAATGGCCCGTATCGAGTTGCTTCATAATCCTCCGTCAGCAGGATGATATCCACTTCCCGAGCGCACCGGTGACCTCGTTGGATCGTCTGTATATTGCTCGTGATCCTGGGCCCATATAAACTTACCGTGCCGTGATCGGACAGGATCCACCGCCAGATATCGGCATGCCGGGTCAGGTATCGGCCTGAGACATCGCCAGACACTAGGCACCTCCTAGCCGCAAATCCTGGCTGGCCAGAAACTCCCTGGCTGATATCTGCAAGGACGCCACGCAGGGAGACGCATGACACTCGAAGCGTTGCTGATCCGTGTTCGTGGGACTGACACTTGGGTTAATGATATTCATGCGACGCCGTTGCATAATTCGCACCGGTTCCCGGGATGGCCATGAGGACCCTGAACGGGTCAGGTTTCATTGTTGGGCTCGGACTGAACGGGTCTTCCCGGCCGTCAAAATTTGCGCAACGGCGATTTCACTTCCGTCACATCATTGATAGTGAAGGTTTCGTGAGGAATCCATAGTGCCTGACTAAATGTTTGTCATCTGGTTATCGGATCCACATTCCCTGTCGATCGGATTCATTTCGGCGTAATCAGATCCCAAGCAGTACACCAAGTGGGGTGGGTGAGTGATTTCTCAGCCTGTCTTTAACTTCGGCCCTGACTATCGCATTGCTTGGCGAGAATATGGCCGCCACAGTGCAAAGAAGTGAGGTGAATGGCCTAATCTCGGTGAGAGAAAACAGCTATTATGGCATTAATAGAGGCCTTTGGGCGGATGTAATTCCGCGTCTAGCTTACATCGACAAAGGTTCTAGAAGTCCCAGCAGTTTTGCGTTCTGTGGCCCCGTGGGTGACCGTCTGCTTTTAATCGCCACGGGTGCCGGCCAGGAAGTATTTCAGAAGAGTCAAGGCCGATGCTGGCGATCTATATCCCTCTTGTAGGCTGTGGTCTATTCACGAAATAGAAGAAGCAGGCCAGGGCCTGTCTGTTGGATCCTGCTGGTAGCATCCCTTGATGGCATCAGAATGCCTCCGTCCACCGCAGATGACAAGATAAATGGCCCTTACAGCGCCCCTCCACACCGAGATGGTTATATAGGCTGCCAGTATCCGTGTAACCAGCAGCCAGGTTGGCATGTAGCACAGCATGAGGTCCGGTGTGTGAGAGCTCCCACTATGCAAGGAGCTGTGTCACGCCGATAGCATCCGTGCCTGAGACCGATATTTTCTTTTCCCCTCTGCCTCTTACTTAACGCCAAGGCTTCACTGTTGTGGCGCACAACGGATAATTACCTAGCTTGCCTGTCGGCCATCTCCATTTGCCCGATAAGAATATGTGGAGCTTCCCCTGAGACGGTTCCAACTAGCTTCACACTAATTCTGGATACAGTATCGGTGTTCATGCAGCTATCCTTGTCCGCCATAACAATGGCTTGTCACTCGCCATTTGCTGCTCATATGACCGTCAAGGGTACAGTAAAGGATTCAGTCATGTGCTGCCTTGAGGAGCTCTTCGACACTTCGCTGCTCGCGCCGTTTGGACCGCATGCCTTGCTATATCTGTCGTGTATCGCCACGTCAGTTCTAAGGAGTAAGGAGTTCATAAAACTACGCCGCAGTGTTCTGCATCATGACCATCGAGGAATGTGCCCCGCTACCCACCTTTGACATTACACCCGCGGCGATTCTAGACCATGCCAATCAGGTTATCCGCCGGGTCCAGCTGGACGTCAATCATTTAATCGACACAGTTGTAATTGGGGATGCCACCGTTGATACTCTAGTGCGTCCACTAGGCAACATAGACAATGAATTCAAGTATCACATTCAGTACATTGCCCTATTCCAATCAGTTGCGCCGTCCCCGGATCTGCGCAAAGCATCGTCAGAGGCAGTGAACCTGGTTAATCAAGCTTACCTAGCGCTGTTCCAAGACGAGCGGCTATTCTATCTGGTCGACACCGTGTATAGCAAGGTCAATGATGACAATGAAGATGGCGAGTCCATACGTCTCCTGTCGAGATTCCATCGCATGTTTGTCGATAATGGCCTCCGTCTGGCTGGGGCAGATCGCGATCGGTTTCAGCACATCGTAAAGCGGTTGCTTGAATTGCGTGTCCAGTTCATGGGCAACATTGCCACCGACCCGGGGAGTCTGTGGATAGCGACAGATGAGTTGAAGGGCCTCGATGAGGGCATGCTGAAGAACCTCAAACGGGGTCCTTCGGGGACTAGTCGTATTCGTCTGGATCGGCCGACAGTCAGCACGATTCTGGGAAAATGCAGCGTGGCTCAAATCCGGCGAGATGTTTTCCTCGGTAGTCAGTCAATCTACTCTCAAAATGTCAAAATATTCCAGGATACTATCAGGCTGCGGCATGAAGCTGCGCGACTGCTGGGGTTCCCGTCTTTCGCAGCACAACAACTACGGCACCAGCTGGTTAAATCCCCCGGCGCTGTCACAGACCTCCTGGAGGACCTCAAGCATAGATTGCAACCACTTGCGATCCGTGAGTTACAAGCCTTGCAGACATTCGCTCATCTAGAATCACCCCTTCATCTGTGGGATTTCGACTACTATCACCGCCGCATGCTGCAGGAACAGTATTCTGTCAGCCATGATTTGATCTCCGAGTATTTCCCAGCTGAACATACGATTCAGCGGATGCTGGGCATCTTCGAGAGGCTATTCGGATTATCCATTACGGAAGTTACAGAGAAGACCGACCGGAATGTGTGGCACTCTGATGTCAGGATATTCGCAGTACGCGACAGACAGGAGTCTTCAGAATCCTTCCTAGGCTACCTCTATATGGATATCTACCCTCGGCCAGGGAAATACAACCATGCCGCCAACTTTAACATCCATCCCGTAGGTCTACTATGTTGCAAAATGCCCAAGATGTTGCTAATTGATGTTGCAGGGATTTCAAAGGAAAGATGGAAGCCAATCTCCCGTCGCCACGGCTCTTGTGTGCAATGTATCGCCAGCTACAGCCGACCGACCGGCGCTTCTGCAGCACAGGGAAGTCATCACGCTGTTCCATGAGCTAGGACACGGTTGGTCGCATGAATTGCCTTTGCAGTTCTCTCCTTGCTAATACGGCCTATAGGAATGCATGATCTCCTAGGAAGAGCCAAGTACGCTCTATTTTCCGGCCATCGAACTGTGCGAGACTTCGTCGAGGCACCCAGTCAGCTGCTGGAATACTGGTGCTGGGTACCAGAGTGTTTGCAACAGCTCAGTTGCCATTACACGTACCTGCCGGGATATTGTGAGCGAACTTTGGCTGAAGGGTCTGTGAAAGATGCCAGCCGGCCACCGAGAGAGATCCCCCAGGGCCTAGTCAAAGGACTTGCTGCCGTCAAGCAAGTCAATCAGGGTATCTTGACCCTGCGACAGGTTGCCTTTAGTGCATTCGATATGGAGATCCATGGCGAGCACGGCCAGGAAGTCTCGGAAGGCAATGGCATTGCCGAGCGATACAATTCGTTACTACAAGAAATGACCCTCCTCCGGGGCCCTGAGGAAGTCAACTGGGGCCATGGATATGCCACGAGCCAACATTACATGTGGGGCCAAGAGGCCAACTACTTTTCATACCTCTAGTAAGTGTAGTGTCAATGGGTGTCTGTATCTTGTTCTTACCTCGACTAGCACACGGACCTTGGCAGCGGACATTTGGACCTCCAACTTCCGTGACGATCCCATGAGTGCGGAAGCTGGACTCCGCTATCGACGGATGATTCTCGCCCATGGCGGTAGTAGAGACGAGTTGGAGATGCTCAGGGAGTTCCTGGGACGATCTCCGTCTCCGGAAGCATATCTCGGGGATCTAGGGGTCGGGGAGCATGGCTGTTGATTCGCAGTAGCTTGACGAACCGTGGTTGCTATCTATGCCGTAAAGATCACACGAGCATCAGCGGAGCGCCCCCGAGTCATAATGATGCTCCTTCATTGGCCGCCATCTCGTGTTGGGAGTGACCGGTGTAAGATGGCGGCTCAGCCAGAAGTCTCCGCGGTCGCACGGAGCCTTACGGAGGGCGGCGCTGCTTAAAGAATGTACATAAAGACCGAAGGGGGATGATGGTGCTTTGAAAAATAATCTCACATCGCAATGTCAAGCAATCAGTACTAATATCTTCTCTTAAATTAATGTCCATAAATCAAACATGCAACAACCACAGCCAACAGTAGCCTTCTTCGGAGCAACGGGTGGATGTGCCAATGCATGTCTGGCTCTTGCCCTACAAGCCGGCGTTCATTGTTCCGCCCGTATGTGATTGTTTTTCCGTTTCCGATACAAACATCTCAAACTGACACTGACCCTGATCAATACTGAATAACAGTGGCTCGCTCTCCCTCCAAGCTCCACAATCTGCTCCAGCAGCTCAATGTCTCCGAGTCCGCCATTGCAAACTACCTAACGGTCACGGAGGGTGATATCTATGATCACCAAGCTGTTCAAAAGACCCTCTATGTCGATGGCCGCCCCGTTGACCTGATCGTCTCTGGCCTCGGCGGCAAGCCACGCTTCGAGTATGGCATCAAAGCCACCCTAGACAACCCGACCATCTGCCAAGATGGCATCCAGACTATCATGTCTGCCGCTCGATCGTGTCCCCGGAAGCCCCGCATTGTGATCATCAGCACCACCGGCCTCAGCGACACGCGCGACGTACCACTCATGATGCTACCCCTGTACCATTGGTTGCTCAAGGTACCGCACGCGGATAAGAAGGTGATGGAGGACCTTGTTGTGGCCGAGATGCAGAAGCCAGAGGAGGAACGCGCCATCGACGGGTATCTCTTCGTACGGCCCTCCTTGTTGCTGAACGGCGATGGCGATGGTCTGTCGAAGATCAGGATCGGCACAGACGAGAAACCCGCGGTGGGCTATTGCATTAGTCGTCGGGACGTGGGTCTCTGGATATTCGAGAGAGTAATTCATCAGGCATCGCTTGCGGACTGTCAGTATTGGGGGCAGAAGGTGTCCCTGACGGCCTAAGCAGCTGCGTGGAATATTTCGATATAGGTTGATCACTTGGAGCTACTGGGTAATATACTGGGTTCTACGGAGTACTGTGGATAATTTTCTGCACTACTTGATGTATTGTCCGGACTACTTAATGTTTACGCTATTATTATCAACTTTGTTTGACTTTCGAGACTATGTGGCATGTCGAATATCTACATCGTAACGTAGACACGGTCGGAAGCATACAGTGTTTACTCGCATAACATGCGATCAGCCGTTTCAATTCAAAGCCTATACTCTTTAACCTTATCCTATTCAGGAGACTGGGGTCTAATTAGCCTGCTTGCAGCTATCCGGTTAGTGCTGGATTTCACTGCCAGCCCGACCATTCAGACACAGTAATATCACGTGACCATTACAGACTAGTCCTCTCAGGCCATGACATCATTGCATCCTGTTCTACTTAGTCATAAAGTACCCGAATAGGAAACACATCAACATCTCTCCGATGAAGTAGAAGAGTCATTGGACTGGAGATCGGCTATACTCTGGGAAACTTGAAGAATTGCATACTGTATCTGTTACCTTCTTACCGGTTGTATGATCATTTCTAATGATCTTCTTCTTTTATTGAATTGTATGCTAGTACCTTATGTGAGCACTACTACTAGTCTCGGGATATATATATACTTATCATGATGTACATATATGTATACAAAGTAGTACTAAGTTAAAGTACCTAACGACTTCCATCGGACATAACACACTTCATAAAAAGATGTTTAACTAACTTACGATAAAGATAGAACATACATCTTTTACAATAGCATACAAACAGATATTACGATCTGATTACGGCTCGTAGTAGCTTGCGCGTTTTATTGATAATAGAAAGTGCTGGCCCCAACACATCTTCCCTTGAATTTGAAACCAACATACATTGGGTGGGGCCACACTTCTGCACCCCAACCGACGAGTTCAGTCACTCAATCACGGGTTAAGGGCACTAATACACGGTCGTCATACCTATTCTGAGTGGGCTATATCTTGCTTCGAGAGTGCGCGCTGATGAGGAGCGCCACGTCCCCCATCAAGTATGGGACATTATTCTGGATGCCCAGGTCTACCCCTTCCGATAAAAACATCTCATCATCAAGGAATGATTGCTCTTATAAGCTCTCATGGCGAAGGCTAGACGAAGAACATCGGAGTCAACTCCAGAACCTTGCCTGCTTTATGCTGGAGCCTGCCGTTCTGGAAGACGATTCTTAGAGAGCATGTAGGCTTCTTACCACCCAAAACGTGATCCAAACTGCTGCTACCTACTTGAGATCTTGGCAATTCTTCATTCCACTAATAGATCAGCACGCATACTTCCTTCAGTGCCGGGGAGGTAATGCGCCTGATGACAGGCACATGATGCCCAAACACAATATCGTCGCAGAGGTCGATCATTGCTCATCTCAGCATCGCTTGTAAAACATAACACAGGGAAACCGAACTATGGAAGGGCTTGATGCTGGAAAGACCGGCGATCCCCGACTACCTACCGCTAAGGAACACCAGCCGGGCTATATCGTATATGACGCACAGGATCAGAGCCAACTCTATAAGTCTTGGTGTAAATTCTTCAAGAAAGCGGGCCTTGGTACGAAGTAGAAAAGCTAAGCTTCGCGTCTTCATGGCAATCATCTTCACACGCGGATCCGCAGCGTGTTTACGATCCAGCACAGCCGACTCGTGGTATGGAATGCGAAGATACTTAAAAGCGACCAGGATCTTCCATCGTTTATCCCGCACTATCGAACTCAATGGCTTGATTTGTTGATCACAGCCTTGAACAGTAAATCTAGACACGAGTGGCTGACAATGTTTTGAGGCACAGCAGAGCCTCGGAGGTCACCAGGCTTTGCAAAAGCCATGATCAATAGTCTGGCGTCACCAAAATTGCCAAAGCAAGGGATGGGACATAGGACTAATTACTGGCGAGGAATGCTAGCCAGAAGGTGCCCCGTTCCTTGATCTGTTTGTATGTGTTTGAAGTAATGAGAAGTCGAGATATAAACAAGGCTCCCTGTGCTGTCTCCCTCACCGAGATTGAAAATATCGAATCTTATTCTACCTGTATACACAACCAAATATCTTTTACGTTAGTCACGAACCTCATAATGAAGACTTACGGTATCTGGAGCACGCTAGCCACCCTTGGCTCATTCACTCTCTCCTCGGCCAAGACCCTCAATTTCGTTGCACACGAGGATGACGACCTCCTCTTCCTGAGTCCGGACCTGATCCGAGACATTCTTTCCGGCGAGCCCATTCGTACCGTGTTCCTGACTGCAGGAGATGCTGGAATGGGCTCTGACTACTGGAACAGCCGTGAGGATGGCTCACGGGCAGCCTATGCGCGCATGGCAGTGGCGAGCAACAACTGGGACGAAGACGTGATCTACGTCGGAGACAAGACCATCAGCCTCTACACGCTGCAAGACGACGATGACATTTCCCTGGCATTCATGCACTTGCCGGATGGCAACATGGATGGAACTGGCTTCGGCGGCACCGACCAGAACGACAGCTTGCAGAAGCTGTGGGACGGCGATATCGACGTGATTCGGACCATTGATGGCTCGGGAGTTGAATACACGAGAGATGAGCTGCTTGAAACCATCGCCGCTCTGATTGACGACTTTGACCCCGACGAGGTCAAGACGGGTGACTATGTCAACGACTTTGGCGATGGCGACCACAGTGATCACTACGCCACCGGTTACTTTGTCGACAATGCGTTGCAGCAGGCCGACAGCGATGCCGATCTGACTGGGTACTACGGGTATCCGATCCAGAACATGGATGTCAACTTGGACGACTCGGACATTGAAGACAAGACGAACATCTTTTACGAATATGCTGGTTATGATACTGCCACCTGCGCCACTGATGATGCTTGCTCGAGTCGGCCTGAATCTGCTTGGTTGCAGCGTGAGTACGAGCTTTAAGGAAGCTTCTCTTGAGCTGGTCTTGGGGACGATTTGGCCATTTACTAGGCTGTGAGACACTGGGTGTTTTATTCTCTGCCATCTTGTACCTTAGTTACGACACTTTGAAATGTCATGATAAGTTGATTGGTGTATTTAGAAGAGCATTGTAGGCGCCGCGCGCAGCAATTGTAGGCCATGCGTTATGTTCCTGACTATTGTGTGCTGTAGCTAGAAATTAGCCCACTGTTACACATGAGAGCGTGGGATGCACCGAATGATCGTGGATAAACCGCGATGTTTGTTTACTTCCTATTGAGAATCAAGCATTCTGACAGTCGACGTTGCTCTGCAACTAGAGTATACATTCCAAGTACCAGCGGAGGAATGTTCCCATTGTAGGCAGTATCACGAGGGAAGCTTCTGTTCTGGTTCCTGAAGGAGGTTGAAGCTCATTCCGTAGGCGAAACCTAAAGCTCCACGGCATGTATGCTTACCAATGAGAGCTAAATCAGTGTAGTTGATTCAACACCGTGCTCATACTAAGAATGTTATTGTACGAACTGCTCATTTCCCCCTTTCTAGCATTTCTCTGGGCACTAATCACTCGATCTGTACCGTGTGATAATACCAGTTGACTGATAAAAACATACTAGAAGTCTCTGACTTAATGGGGTGGTGATTGGTGGTAATGATGGACACGTCGACATGCATAAATCCCGGAATATTTCCAGGGTTATCGGAAATCCCGGATTTACAGTGTATGGAATAGCCGGTACTCCGCAGCAGATTTCATTAACAATTTACCTGTTATCTACTACTGAAGTCCTTTTTAAGAAGATACCCATACTACGCAGTGACCTTCTTCCAGCTCTCCCTAGCCTTCAACCCCTCCCACCACTTCTGCACATGAGGAAACTTGCTCACAAGTTCCGTGAACCCGAATGGCTCAATAAAGACCCCATACGGCAAGTGAGCCAAGTCCGCCAGCGTGAGTTGCTGCCCGGCCAGATAAGGCTGTTTGGACAGGACCCGCTCGTAACCTTCGAGAGTGAGTTCGAGCTGGGAAAAGAGGGATTGGACACGGGCTTCGTCGGTCTCTCCGTGACCTTTGCGGGCTTTGAAGACCTTTTCGTAGGCGATCTGAGAAGCGAGGGGGTCGAAGTAGGATTGTTCGATGGAGAGGGCCTATCCCATTAGCTTTATTAGTCTCACAGAACTCTTGATGGATTTGAGAAATAGGGATATGTACCTGCTGGTAATAGGCAAAGGCCTTTAGATCCGATTCAGGAGGGGCCAAGTCAGTGCCCTGGCCGCGGTACTTGGTAGCGATGTATTGAGTGATGGCTCGACTCTCTGTTCACGGAAGTAGTGTTATTAGGGTATATCTGGAGATTGTTTCTCGCAACACCAACCGTAGATCTGGACGCCTGTTTCTGTATCCTGCAGCACAGGTACCTTGCCAAACGGCTGAAGATCGTTCAGATAAGAGGAGGTCCTCTGCTCGCCCTTAGCCAGGTCGATGGGGACGATATCAACGTCCAGCCCTTTCTCGGCCAGGGCAGTGCGCACGCGACGGGTGCAGGTGGAGTGAACAAATCCGTATAGCTTAAGAGTCATGTTGGAGGGATGAGGTGAGATGCCCTTAGTGAGATTCAAGCCAAAGGAAATGAAGATAAAGCGATGGTGGTGAATGCGACCGAGGGGAAGGAGGGGAAGGTCGGGGATAGTTGCATTGAGATGCAAGTCTGGCACGTCATCTCGGGTTCCCCACCACCGCGGAATCATTCCGGCATATAAACAAAATTCTCTTCATGTGCTTACAAAAAACTGATTGATTACAAAATTTCCAATTTAAACAACTACCAAGTGATGGACTAAGATGAGGGCCGACGGGGTCGGAAGGTGGCCCACAAGGTTGGTACAGACATGGCGAAGTTATCCAGTTCCTTGCCATCAAAGGCCCGCTGCTCATCGGCTAGCTGGATGTGATATTCTCCCACAATCATCGCCAAAGCCATGCGCATCTCCATCCAGGCAATACTCTTACCTACGCAGTCATACGAGCCTATGCAGAGACACATCTTAGTCGACGAATTCACTGAAGATCTGAGTTGACAGACT